TATATATATATATATATATATATAATTATTTGTGTTGTGAATTTCTATATTTTAGTTTAATTGACTTTTTCCATGCTGTAGAGTCTCTGGAAATAAAGTGATTTGATTTGACCTGATAGTAAGTCCAAACAGTTTATAAATTTGCTTTCAGTTTCATCTAATACAGACTACTTTCAAATACACTCGCATTACTGATGCGTCAAAAACTTGTTCTGATAATATGTTTGTTAACTTTAAGTACAGAAAATCATATGTCATGAACTCCTATATCAGAACATGATCCTCAAGTTCTTACCTAGGTGCTTGAAAATCATACTGATTGAGTAAATAATTACTATAGAAGATTTTCTCAATCAAACATTGAAACTTTCAAGCAGTTACTACTGATATGAAACTGGCTAAAACTACAAACGAAAAAAAAAAGAAGCCTTTTTAACATTTTTATGAAACTTTTTAATATCGTGTTTCCAGTAGTTTCAAAAGATAAATTGATGGATGTAGCCGTTACTACATGGCAAAAGATCATAATGAAAAATAAGAAATAAAACTTTGTTTTTTTATCACTTTCATTAGTAACCAACGTTACTGCAGTTTCGTCCTACACGGACATTTTGAAACTGATACAATAAACTGAAAAGAATTGATAATATACGCCCTCATCTGTTTAAAAAAAATCTGTTTGAAATATGTTTTTCCGTTAATCAGCTGTCGCCCCCATACGAACGACAACTCTCAGAAGTTGAGAAACTAAGGACTAACGAGGTCTTACCTTTTAACGTGTGATTCCGAACACGGAATATCTATAAACCACTATAGGTAATAACAGAGGTAGGTACTTAACTTAATTGAGACCTGAATTTTGTTTACGTTTATTAGAAAACCGTGAGTAGACTAGATCGATTTGAGCATTTTTTTAGCAAGTTACATCCGCAATGTAGATTAAATACTTGAAGCTTTCGAAAATAAAGAGCAATGCATCACAATTTTCACAAATCTCTCAAAAGCGTTTGACTGCGTCACACCATGCTCCTTGATAAACTTAATCTGTATGGAAAGAGATGAGTAGCCAATAAATTAATTTGTTTCTACTTAGAAAACAGACAACAAGCGGTGTTTATGAATAATAAATATAGTGCATTTCTTTAAGGTCCCTCCCCTTTTATTTTTTGAACAGGTCAACTCAAAAAATTGAAATTTGGGATAATGAAATTAATGCATGAATACTTCATTTTGAAGTGAAATTGACAGNAAGAATAACAAGTGCAAATAATTGGTGAGATGGTAGTAAATCCTGAACAGTCTACTTATTCCGTCGCGAATGTTTGTGAGGTGTCTCCTTTTTCTGTGTGGAGACTTTTGAAGAGGAATAGGTATCATCCATACAAAATTAAAATGGTATACCAATTAACTGAAGATGATCCTGATCGAAGAACAGAATTCTGCAAAATCATGACGGAAACCATTGCAAGGCATCCTACCTATCACCACAATATTTGTTTTAGTGACGAATGTACATTTTTTCAACGGCAATTTTCACAGACAAAATTGCCGTTATTGAAGTGACACCAACCCTCACGTTTTCCGGGAAACACATACCTACCCAATATCCAGAAAAAATTAACGTTTGGGCAAGAATATTGGGAAACCATATTGTAGGACCTCTATTTATTTATCAAAATTCAACAGGGGAACCGTATTTGAATATGCTGGAAACTACTGTTTACCCTCTCATCACTGAAATCGTCGAAGCGAATCCTAATGAATTCGATATAGATATTGTATTCCAAGATGAAGCACCGCCACATTATTCCAGAGAAGTAAGAAACTATTTGGATACTACCTTTGGACTTTTTTTTATGGGGCTATTTGAAGCAAAAGGTGTACAAAACTGAACCTGCTTAAATATTGGATATACGGCAGAGAATAATAAATATTTGTAGAGTTATTGACGTTATTGTATTCGAAAATGTTCGACGTGAAATATCGGATAGGCTGTTCATATGTCAAGAAGTTCAA